CCCAGCACCCATGCCTGCCCTGCACTTGGTTGTCTCACTACAAATGGTGTAGAAAGATTGTAAAAAGCCTGAAAAAGCCACTGTGGGTGCCAGGACTCTCCTTTACCTGACTTCCCAGATCCAAGAGAACCTGCCCCGTGTCTTGCTGGCACAACAGACAGGAATTGAATCTATAATATGCACTTCATTGACAGAAAATCAGTGATCTGGGAAAATAGGGTATTTTACCTCAAAAGCCCATCTGACATCTCTCAAACTGGCCTTTTTCCAATTTTAGTATATGTGCTGCCAAAGTGGGCACTCAAGTCGGCCTTTTTCTAGTGAACTAAACAAAGACAATAAACCATAAGGGACCCTCGCACCACAACAGCCTATCATGATTGGTGCCCTGGTCTTCATCATGTCCCCGGAGTTTGTTGTCACCTCCTTTGTTATCTTCACTCAGGTATATCCTGTATTCCTGGGCCCAGGAAAAATATCCTGTTTTTCTGATGGCACCAATGTCTGACCCTTCTTCAGGCATCACTGGGGTAGGACTCTCAGTTCAAAATAAGAGTTTTAGTTCAAATAATACAGATGATTACTCACACAGTGTTTGCATGCAGCCTATGCTGTGTGTACGAGCAGATCCCGCTACTTCCCTTGCTCCCTAGCCCCTGTCAGTAGAACAGTGATTCTTCTTCAAGGTGAAAACCCTCCAGCAAGAGACAAAGAAACACCCGAAAAAGTTCAAAGACCGTATCTTTGTCATATTTTAAAGTGAGTATGAGATGACCTAACTGAGCCTCACATTTGTAAATATACTTCTAGGATAAGACATTCAAACAACTTTTGATTTTTACATCTTCCCAAACACCAAGAGCTCTGATTAAATCAGCTCAGTAAAATCAAGTAATTGCTCTGAAGATATGAACAGATTTTCTTCTTTACCAAGTAACTAAGTTTGTTGGAAATCAACCTTATTAAGTGAAAATTTTAGAAATTTGCTAGATATCTTCTTTTATTTATTAAAATAATTTTTTGTGTATGTAAATTACCTATATATTTAAGGTAAAAACTCCAAGACTGGAGACCAGTAAGTCAGAGAAATCTTATATTTCTGGCCTCCTGGGTGGGCCAGCATCCTCAGAGCATCCTTTTGCTCTGAATAGCCATTTAAAAAATTTCTCTTTTACTAAACTTTAAATTCCCTCCACAACTGTTGATTATTTCAATGATAGAACCCATCATCCTCTACTTGTTGTTAAAGCTCCCTTTTAAATTTTTATACTAAAACCTCAAGGATTATGTAAGGTAAGGAAAAATGTCAGACTTTTCTGCCCTCCCGCCATCAGGATAGATGATGGATCCTTGCGGTCCTGAATGCATGCCTGATGGCGGGCACCTGGAGTAGGGTGTGGGCATAGGTAGATGGGATTCACCTGGGCTGAGATGGGCTTTTAAGGACGGCGTCACGGGGATGCCAGCAGCAGCAGAAGCGGAGAAAGAAGCAGGAGAAGCCGAGGGAGAAGCAAGAAAAGCAGAAACCGAGAGAACGCCGGAGAGCCCAGATAGAGTGAAGACTTGCTGGGGTCTGGGAGGCCTGCCAGCCCCCCGGCCCCCCAGCACCCCTGCCTGCTGTGTATCTGGTAATCCCAATAAAAAACCTGCAAAAAACCACGGAGGACTCTGACTCCTCCTTTACCCGCTCTGCATGGGATCCTAGGAAACCTGCCCTGTGTCCATTCCTGCCCTTACAGATTATAATCCCAAATAATCTGTACTTTGTTGATCTAGTATATATTTATTCCATTTTTTTTTTTTTTTGGTCATCAAAAGAAATCCTTAAGCCATGAATGAATGTGTAATGAATAAGGGGAAAGACCTATGATTTCATACTTCAAGTCCTGTGTAGAGAAAATTAATTCCAATAAAAAAGAATTATTGTATACATTTTAAGTTTTATCTTATTTTGAGAATAGTTAATGAATATCTGGGTAAAGCATGATGCACTTAATTTATGTTAATGCCAGATTATAATGCCTCGGTTACTGAATACTGTGAGGACAAATGGTAAGTGGGGAAAAATAACCACGTGAATATTTTCCTAATACACAGTTGTAGGCTAAAGAAAATGTCAGGCTTTTCTGCCCTTCCGCCATCAGGATAGATGATGGATCCTTGTCCTGAATGCATGCCTGATGGCGGGCACCTGGAATAGGGTGGGGGGCATAGGTAGATGGGATTCAGCTGAGCTAAGACTGTGCTTTTTTTCAAGGGCGGCGTCACCGGGGGACGCCAGCAGCACCACTAGCAGCAGTAGAAGCCGAAGCAAAAGCCGAAAGAGAAGCCGAGAAGCAGCAGAACGAACGCTAGAGAGCCCAGATAGAGTGAAGACTTGCTGGGAGCCTGCCAGCCTCCCAGGCCCCTAGCCAGCACCCCTGCCTGCCATATGCCTGGTGAACCCCAATAAAAGACCTGCAAAAAACCACTGAGGACTCTGACTCCTCCTTTACCCGGTCTGCATGGGATCAGAAAACCTGCACTGTGGCCAGTCCGGCCCCTTACAACAGTACATGCAAAACTTTCTTTCTGGAACATCAGATTATTTCAAAGAAATGTATTTATATGTTTGGCAGCCCACTGAGAAATCATACTGCTTATTGTATTCCTTTATAGAAACATAAAAATCCAAACACAGCAGTCACAAATTCTTCAGATCCCATTATCATCATCAAAAACAGTTTATCACATTACGGTTTTGCATTCCCTTAAAAGGGAAGCACATGCGTGTGGGAAAATTTCAATTTTAAGTAGGAAAATCTAGTATATTCTTCTATAACAGAGTTGTACTTTTTTCTTTTTTAGAATTTTGATATTGACATTCTCTGTTGCATAGAATTGTTTAAGTTTTCCTTAGTTTATATTTGAAAGACAGAATAACTTATCATAAAGATATTAAAATAGAAAAATAAGAGAAAACACACCAAGGTGGTTTATGCTCTCGGTTTCTTTGAAAAAAAGGAGGACTTAGTCCTACTAAGTGTGCTTGGATACTGATCTTGGATGAAGTGAGGGTTCTTTGGATCTGTTCAAGAATAAATTCAACCAAGTCACCTTAACCAGCACATTGTAGGTTTATTAAGAAAAAGGAGACACTTGCATAGACACAAATGGGCAAAAAACTGCATTTTTATAAGGACAGGGGTGTTTTTTAATGTTATTTTTTGGTGAAACTTCCCACTTTAGGGTTAGGTCAGTTTGCCGTCAAGCCTCTTAGTTATTTCTACCCCCACCTTCGAGTTCCAGGCCTAATGGAATTTGCATAGATGGCTTTAATGAGTTTGTTAATCATCCCATCCCCACCACTGGCTCTTCCTGGAGGCAGGCAGCCTAGGAGACAGGCATCAAGGTGTTTGGCTTGCTCAGCAGGGTGCTCTCTTTAGCAATCAGATGTTTCTGATGCCATTATCAACCCCAGAGGAAGACGGTGGATTTTATTAGGGATGTAACACAATCAATTTTTCAAGCTCCCAGGAATGCAGCTACAGGCAGTTAACATTAATCACAAGGAGGGGCTACAACTCAGTAAGTTAACAGTTAATTCTAAAGCAGGAATGCAATTCCGCTGTTCATAGTTTAATTCTGCTCATTGCTGAATTTTTAGTCTACGGGAGTTTTTGTTGCAAATGGAGGGGATCTGACTACAGTTATATGACTTGGTATCTCTGCTTTTTAACAGGGAGCTTACAGTTAGTAAGAAGAGAAGATTTTGTCAGGCAGAGCATAGATAACTCCGTCAAGGTAGCTTTATTTTCCATCTTGAAATATTTTCTTAGGATTTTATATTTGAGTGAAGATATCCTTCTGGAAATGTAAACCAGAGTGTGACTTTTGTCAAAGATTGAGAACCATCTGTTTTTTGATTATATGACAAATTAATATATTCCAGAATACAGGGGACTCCATAAAATATGGGGGCATGGAGGACATATAATAATACACTTTATTAAAATTGTGTAACTTTCATTACTGAACTGATTTTGTGGCATTACAGTGACATAAATAGTTCATACTGAGTATTATAAATGAAGGGTACCCCGGGCCTCCCTGGTGGCGCAGCCGTTGAGCGCTGGGTTGCGAAGCTGCCCGCAGCCTCTGCAGCACCGGTTCGATCCCCGGCTACCTGGCGAGGGTCCCACGTGGCACGCAGACCTCTCCTGCCGCCCTCTGCTCCCCTCAGCAGCGTACTTAGTCTGCCTGCTCTGCTCTCCCCTCTGGCTCTGGTGAATTCTGTCACCCACCTGCGCTTCTGACTGTACCTATTACAGTGCAGGGAGAGGGGCAGCCCAAACCCCGCAAACCTGCCTATTCTAAATGGGTTCTGCCATCTGCCTCATCAACACAAAACATTTGAAACTTTAATGGGAATGAACTTTAATACTACTAGGAAACAATACAGGAAAGGCAAAGAATCTAGTTTCTAAACCACACACCCAAAGTTACCCGTCCTTTCGTGGGTAAAACTCCATCCAAATGAGATTGGCCCAGAGCAAGGCCCCAAAGCCTGCCACAAGTCTAAAGCATCTTCCAGTGGGGACCCACAGAAAAGGGTCAGAAACAACCAGACAAGCCCAGAAGGAAAAGAGCAAAATCAAAATCAAAGTAAAAGCTGCCATTATCACCTCCCCACGGGGCTCACCCACATCTGTGTCACCCAGTCCACGGCCAAAAGACAAGTGCAGTTTCTTCACGTGTCTCTAGGCTCCATGCACCTCCTTCAGGTCTCCTTTTGGCTCCATCCTGCTTCCTTCCTCAGTCTCCTCTTCAGCTTCTTCTCTCCCTGCTCAGCTCCACCCTCCATTTGGGTGAGGCAGGGAACCTGGAACCTCCCCCTTTCTTGGCGACCACCCTGTTACACCCAGTGCTTGTATAAATAAATAAAAAAACAAAAACCAAAAAATGAAGTGTACCCCAAAGGAAGGATATACACCAACATTGTTTTAAAAGAAACAGTGTTTATTAAGAAATTATGTGCTGAATTCTCCTACAGTCTGTGCAGATGGTTTCTTCCATTTTTCCACAGCACAAGACAACAGCTAAGAGCATCTGGAAAATACTTGCAATGCTTGCAGATGGAGAGTTCCCAGTAATAGGAGATGAAGTGCTTGGATACACGTACTAATTTAAACTTTTGGATTCAAAGACAGGACAATCCTTATTCCCCCCAATCTAGTTCTCACCTGTGTTGACACTGTCCATGAGCTTTCCCATTCAGACTGAAGTTTTGGGCAATAATTGGGCATTTCAGTTCAGTAGAGCAGAGAATGCTCAATTTAATAATAGGTCAAAGCAATAATCCTTAAATTACTGAATCACATCTGAAATATTTACATTCTTTATTAATAAAAAGGTGCTTACAGAGGGCAGAAATATAACCTTTTCAAGTATCTTATTCTTATGATTTGAAGAACTTTAAACTATGAATTAAAAATAAATTATAAAACTAGCATATGATGTATCCTTTCTTACATGACATTGTCAGAAATAAAGTTTAAACATAGAGTTGCAGTATCACCTGACTTTATATATGATCAACAGTAAAACATGCTAATCATAAAAATAGCTTTTACAAATATACATTTGTATACAGTGGTCTCCCTTACCATTCATAAATGTCTTTCACATTTTAAGACTTTTAAGACTAAAAAAAACCACAACATAATTAGCAAAGGGAAAAACACATTTACAATCTAAACCATAAAAACTTGACAATTATACCGCTTAGAACATAGAAGAAATGGAATTTCTAAAATTGGACAATGTCGTCCATTTTATTTATTTGGGTTTTTATATAAATTGAACCAAAGATGCTGCTATCCAGTAAGAAACCTTCTTTCACATTTCTGGAGGTTGTCACAGTTTCTCTTTTCTGATTTCGTGGCATCATTCATTACTTTAGATCACTTTATTTGTAGAAACTGAGAAAAGAAAAAAAAGTGTTTTTATATATATTTACATTTCATTGTTGATAACAGGCAAAGAAAATCATAAGGAAAGGAGGAATTAGATCTTTAGGACAAATATTTTTGAAAACTTGAGGTCTCAGATTCTTCATTGGAGGTAATAAATACTAAATAATTTATATTTATAGCATGCTATGATTTTTATCCAGCTAATTTACCATGTGAGATCCCAATTATTGGAGCTCGTGTACAAGTCAGAGGGGAACCGCTTGAAATTCCAGGGTAGGCAGAGATTTGGGTTGCTCCTGAATATTTGCTGCTCTGCATAAGAGTGATCGTGTATACTCTTCTACAACAGACTGAGCAGTGCAGTCCTAATCTTTACATTTGAGACAGGAGAAAAAGTCAATATAGGCCTCTGATCTGGGTTGCCAAAGAAGAAAGTTAAATACAAGAGGGCAGTGAGACACCATATAAGTACCAACATTTAATTGGCTGAAGAACTGAGTTAAGAAGTTGAATATGAATATGAAGATAAAGTAATGCAAGATTTCAGTCATAGAGAAAGGCATTTATTTATTTTAGTATCCTATCTTTATATTTAGGCATAAAATATAATTAGCCTATCCCATCAACTTCCAAGATTTTTTGGAATTAGCTGGAAAATCTAAGTTTTTATCTTAAGAGTCAAAGACATACAAATCAAGGTGTAAATTTGGATGGAAATTGTTGAGAACACTCTGTAGCACTTCTCAATCTCAGGAGAGTAGAATGCTGTACACCAGTCCAAGGAGAGGACTTCAGAGATTTCTGTCCATTTGTATTGGTATCACAGGAGTCAAGCAAAAGAAAACAGGCAAGTGTTACAGGGAACAAGGCTTTAATTCTGTTAGTGTACCTGGACCTCATCACTACTGGCTACCTCTGTCTGGCTTTCACATTCCCCTTTCTTGTTGCAATAGAAGGACTCTGACCCCTCCCTGTGGAATTTGAAATAATAAATGGTGAGGGCATATATACCTTTAAGTAGATTTTCTGTGTATATTACAGTATCCCTACAATGATTTCTCCTTACCCCTCCCTTTGCTCCTTTAAGTGGTTACATAAAAATAGTTACCCTGGGAAGAAGAAAGGTAGGTTTGAAAATAATTTGTTGAAGTATTAGTTCCTTGCCACAAAGCTTCAAAGCATCTCCTGTCATTAGTAGGAAACAAAAGCTGCAGTAACTGCACTGTGAAGTAGGTATTATTAACCATATGGATACAATTTATGAATATAATTCTCCTTATATAAAAACACTGGAGAAATTTATTCACCAAGTTTTCCATAGAACTTCTAGTAGGAGAAAGGCTTGCCATTTCCTTCCGCAGGCATGAGAGAAAGGGGACAACTATGACATTCTTGCTGCCTTTTTCCAAGAATGACAGTCAATTAAGGAGCTGATTGGCTTAGTATAATGTGAAACTAATTGTACTTTTCTTTTCTTGAATAGTGTGTAATTCATCTACTGGCTGTATGGAACTTGGATGCTTTTAAAACAAAGTCTTCTGATGATGAATGCTTTTCCTACTCTTAATCTCTCCCATTTCTGAAAAATGACAGAGAGCCACTCAGATAGGCCTGGATGGTATTGAGCCAAACAATCTACTTCTATTTGACAAAGACGAAAAGCACAGTGTTGCTATAGGAAAAGTACAGGAAAATGAACAGAAAAACTTCATTTAATGTTAAACTGCATGCATTAAAATATTTGAAATAAAATAGATATAATAATGATGTGGCATAAATACACCTTATTTATATCTGTACCAGAAATAAATCCATAATTTTAAAGAAGTCTTCTGACCTCTTTATTTTTTTATTTTTATTTATTTATTATTATTTTTTTTAATAGAGGCATGTTTTTTTATTTATTTATTTGTTTGTTTGTTTGTTTGTTTTTGTTTATACAAGCACTGGGTACAGTCAGAAGAGCGGGAGGGTGAGAGAATTCACCAGAGCCAGAGTGGGGAGCAGAGCAGGCAGAAGGACCGAGGTACACTGCTGAGGGGAGCAGCGGGCGGCAGGAGAGGTCTGCGCGCCATGTGGGACCCTCCTCCCGTGGCCGGGGAGCAGCCGGGGATCGAACCCGCGCCGCAGAGGCCGCGGGCAGCCTCGCAACCCAGCGCTCAACCGCTGCGCCACCGGGGAGGCCCTTATTTTTATTTCTTTAAAAGATTTATTTATTTATGCATACAAGAACTGGGGTACAGGCCAGAGATGCGGGGGGTGAGAGTATTCACCAGAGACAGAGTGGGGAACAGAACAGAAAGATTGACTGAAATACACTGCTGAGGGGAGCAGCAGGCGAGTCAGGAGAGGTCTGCTGCACCATATGGGAAGCTCCCTGGCCAGGGATCGAACTCGTGGTGCAGTGGTTGCAGATTGCTTCATAGGTTGTGTCTTAACCCCTTGCGCCACCAGGGAGGCCCTTTTCTGACTTCTTTACTATCAGAAATGCTTCTGATTTTTTTCCTAATTGAGATTTATAACTAATAAGTAATGAGTGAATATAAATGACCACATTTTAGGTAGCATCTTCAAAAGCAAAAAAGATGAAAGAGACTATATGGATAATGCAGGTTGTATAGCATTTTATAGAAAAACAGAGTCTTGGGCCTCCTCTGGTGGCGCCGTGGTTGAGTGCTGGGCTGCGAGGTTGCCCGCAGCCTCTGCAGCACCGGTTCGCTCCCCGGCCGCTGGTGAGTGTCCCACAAAAAAAAAGAAAAAAAAAAAAAAAAAAAAAAAAAAAAAAAAAAAAAAAAAAAAAAAAAAAAAAAAAGAAATACATTTTTACAAGTCTCTTTTTACAAATGAGACACAATTTAATTCAAATTTCTAAATAATATGATCAGATTCCCAGCCTTTAATATTCATTATAAGTTAAAACTTACCTCTATTAATAAGATCTTGGGGCCAAAGCTACATACTTTTAGACTGAAAGAATCTCATCCCCCAAACTGTAATGGAGTGAAAACCAAGATGGGGAGTAACTCACTGAAATGACTACAGATGAAGCAATTGCCTCAGTATGTAGCTCTTGGAGGATGAATAATAATCTCCATTCCTGAGTTGATGGCCATTTAGAGTGTTTGGAGGGTAGGTGGACAGGCAGGAAACACAAGCAAACACAAAAATGTAACCCACCAAAAAACTTCAGACAAAATCTATAGATTATCTTCTGAGATTTTTACTCTAAAATCAACACTGAACTGAATAAGACAGAAAATATGCAAGGTGACTTTAGAGAGGCAGAAGGTTTCTAGGTCAATCAAGACTAATTTGACACAGCACGTACAGAAAAGCAGGAATGTCAGAGAGCAACTAGACTTAATTCAGAGACTGTGCACCTTGTGGACCTGTCTTATTAGCTGATCTCTCCTGATTTTACTAATACTTGCCATATACATTTCAAGATCTTTAACACAGGCTAAAGTTACATGTCAGGGTATACTGGACTTAATCAAATTTGAACAGTAAGGAATCAGAAATGATCGAAACCTCTTCAGCAATAGGTGAGGATAGTGAGGTCCAGATAGGTTGACAGAAAATGTCTAGCTTGGTGGAAGCCCTAACTGAAATCCAGAATCCTGACTGCTATTAAGAGTTCTTTGTATTACACATCTTTTCAAACTTTAATGGGCCTCAGAATACAAAGTGGGCTTGTTAACTCAGATTACTATGGACTGAATATTTGTGTCTCCCCAAAATTCATATGTTGAAATTTTAACTCCCAAAGTATGATGATGATATTTAGAGCTTTAGGGAGGTGATCAGGTCATGAGGCCAGAGCTCTCATAAATGCCATTAGTGCCTTTATGAAAGAGGCCTGAAAGACCTCCCTTCTCCCTTCTGCCACGTGAGGACCAGGGAAAAGAGGGCCAGCTAGGTCGTGGGCTCTCACCAGACCCTGAATCTTCTAATGCCATGATCTTGGACTTCCCAACTTCCATAACTGTGAGAAATAAATTTATTGCTTATAAGCCACCCACATGGAGGTATTTTGTTATAACCACCCATATGAACTATGACAAGTAGGTCTGGAATGAGGCCTAAGAAACTGTACTTCTGATTCATTCCTGAGTGATGCTGATATGGGCATCCCACTTTTTGAGAACCAATTCACTCCACTTTTGAGAGGAGGTCCTTTGTGGGCCTCTTCCATTCCTAATACATGTCTTGCTGAATGTGCTAATATCAAAAAACTCCAACTGTTCTTTCCCCAAGGTCCTTTGCATGATTATTTGGCAATCCTGAAAAGTGAGGTAAAAATCTCCAGAAGGTACCACAAAGTTCTGCATCAAGTTTCATCTCTCTTTGGACAAGGAAAGACTTGGTTACTGCTTGCTAGAAATTGGATTCCCTAAAGTCAAGGTCTCTCTCATGTGGTGTACTGTCTGAGGAAGGCAGGCTCCATCACTGACCCGGGTCTAGGGTTAAGGGAATCAGCACACATCTGATACTCCTGCTGCCTTTGCTGTGAGTAGCATTTTTGTCCCAGAAGAGTGTCCTTTTTTTTTTTTTTTTTAAAATCAGTATACCTGGAATGATGGATGTTTGACTTATTAGCTTGCATAGAGTTCTCTTGCTTTAGCTCTCTTAAATACCTTCAAATTAACTTAAGTTGGGTTGATTCTTGGCTTTAACTATAATGATTCTTGGCAAATCACAACCTCACTGGCAAACTGTCTTCTGGACATGCTATGTGGCCATGCTCACTATTCTTTTTTTTTATTTTTCCCTATCTCCATCTCACTTTCTCTCTCATTTATTTTTTCCTTCTAATTACTAGCTGTTCACTTTTGTAATCCACATCCATTTTTTTCTGCCCAATGATTCCCATGTCTTTATCCTATTCTCCATCTCTCTCCCAACATTCATGAAATAAATATGACCAATAGACAAAAGTTTTATTATATTAAAGTGGATTGCAAATATCCAAATCAGTGGGTTTTGTTATTCCAAAGGCAAACAGA